AACAAGGCATGGAAGAGGGGAGAAGCAAACCAGCACTGCACAGTAAGAACTGTATTTGCCCCCTGTGGTTTTATGTAAAATGGATGAGAAACAAGCTCTGTGTCCACAGTGTTCACACAGCCACAATGTTATGTTAATCCTCAATTTCCCAAGACACTTGGGGTGTTTGTTTTAGCCAAATAGATTTGTAGAGCAAAACTGGATCTCTAAATCATCACCTGGCCACTTGCCAACATGACCAGACAAGACAGGCACACCAGCCAAAGCCACAAAGTATTAGCATTTGGCTGGTAAGCTGATATGCACGTGGCATGTTTAACATACTCCCTAATAAGATATATGGCTATGCTTCCTGTCTGAGTAACATAACCGTATATTTGAAGAGAAACCTGACTGCTTCAGCAAGGCTCATTCAAGGAATGCAATTTCAAAACAGTGTAAAAAGTGAAGAAACGTATTTTTGCTCCACAAAGCTTCCGGAGGCCTTTTTAAAGACAAAGCATTTTCATGTTGGGTACATCCGATTCTCCCAAAACCAAGGCAAATAACAGCTATGCTGGCATCTCTGTGAGACACCATGCTATGAGTGTCAACACATATACAGTGACAGTGTGAGCATGCCTAGGCTGCCATGGACTGAGTCCCTGAGCACAGACAAGAAAAAGGCCAAACTCCTCTATGCAGCAGGACAGCAGGATTAAAAAAAACGAAAATAAAACAATGGAGAGTGGTTTAAAGAGAGCTTTAGTCTCTTTGTAGTTACGGTCCAGCTCGCTCTGTCTCATATGCTTCTATGGTTGCATTATCCCTGCTGTAGTCAATTTGAATGTTGCTGTTTTGTGTCTTTGTACTTTTCATGTTACATCTCTTTGTAGTGGTTTTTTACCTCTGTAATCACTTTTGTTTATGTGTCTTTTGACCTATCTCTCTGTAGTCATGTTGACTTTTTATTGCTATTATGCATCGTTCTGAAGTATTTAAGTGTCTAATTGTTGTCATTTTCTGTCTCATAGTAGCTGACTTGGCCAGTATTCTATTTACCATGCTTACCATCTTAGGCCACTGTCACACAGGCCTAGGGACCAATTGGTGAACCCTGGTAACTTTATTCCCCAGTTGGCTACAAATCGTTGGTGGAAGTCAATATGAAGTGATTGCTAGAGCCACATTTGCACAGCCCTAGACACTGGTAAGTGATATCTTGGTAACTACCAGCCACTAGAGCAAAGTACAATGTCCTCAACCACTACGCTAGGGGTTGTGAATGGTTGCTGGCAGTTGCAAGCAAGAAATTGGTTGTAACGAGGTATACAGTGCTGTATCAAAAACTTCCTTCCCTTTGTGTCTGGTTGTCACAGTAACCTATAGTTTGCATGGAAGATCCTGAATACCTGCCAAAAGGTAGTAAGCTGTAACTTGCTGCAACTTTATCGGTGAATGTTCGCCATCTCCATTTGTATTCCACTTACTCAAGTTTTAGCACATCTCGGAGAATAAATGTAGAGTATTCAAGGAGAAATTCATGTCTTTCCCAGTGTATGTATAGAAAACCTCCGCACCTTCTCAGATTGTAGAGTGAAATTCAGGTGGAGCAGGTGCTAGCTAGATGAGTTTTCTGCAACACATCTAATTGATGAAAGGTCTAACTTGCCAAAAGTAATTAAGTAGCCCACATTTTTAACTTGAGCTGGCTTCTTTCACTTCTACACTTTCTCTAATTAATTGCACCATTTTAGCTGTTAGAAGTTTATGACTCAGCACAGGAGGTTTGGCTGGAATGGTAATTTGGCACTTGCGCACTAAATTTTTGCCCAAGGGCCTCTCAACTGGTTCAGCTTTATCAGTGATCTCACTTATTATTATGCATAAAATGTGGGCTCTCCTAGCTTCATTACTGACCCCATTACAAATATAATCTTGACAAGTTCAGCAGCACAAACTCATCCGTGACCTCGTTAATAACCATCCATAACCTCGCCACTTGATTTCGCCTATAATCTTCTTTTTGACATCAATAATAACCTCTTAAAATCTCACTCATGGTCACTATCACATTTCATAAGATCACTTGTAATATCATCATTATGCCTTCTCACCCTGAAACAAAGCTGCATTTGCTCAGTGAATCAGTAAACAAATCACAATCACTGCAACGGTGTAACAACATGAGAAAATAATTGCTTTGTGTGTTTGTTTTGCATCAGTGTGGCTAATGAGTTCCTTTGTCTTCTCATTAAAGACCAGGGAAGGCGAGTAATAGGCACTGGAGGTCGTTCTTTTGGAAGCACTCTTCCTTTTGACTAATTTGCTGCACTTCTTCTCACGCAAATGAATTTGCTACTTAGGGCTTAAAGCTTCTTATGTGAGCAGCAGCTCGTGACATTTACAGAGACACGGGGAAGCTCAAGGAAGATGAGAATGGATCAGCAGGAAATGGGCAACAGTGAAGGACGGTGGAAGGTGGGTGTATGTGTGTATGTCTTGGAGAGGTTATCTGGGTATGGTGGGACAGTGAGAGGCAAATCAACAAAGAAAATGAAGGAGGGTAGAGGAAACTCTCAGCTTCCTGCGGCATTAATCAGCAGCACATGAACCACCAGAAATGACAGCAGAGCTTACATACAATGGAGAGAGAGGCCATCTCTACTTACCCCAAATATGAAAGCTTGATTGGGCCATTGGACTTCTTTTTTTGTGATAATCATCCCTCCCTCATCCTTTATGTGGTCTCCATTTTTCTTTAAAGGCACTTCTAGAGACACCCAGAGGCTGTGCTAAATGGCAGTCTCTGAATTCTGAATAACCTCATTTTGGGTTATGAGACAATAGGAGCTGGGAGTAGACAACAGGCATGCAGCCACTGTGAGTTTCACTGTGGTCATTTCACATCTCGACATCTTTATTTGGCTGTGCCACAGTGATTTGGTGCTATATTAATAAAGCTGAACTGAATTAAATTGAACTGAATCTGACCTAACAGTACTATGGCTTTATGTGATTGCTGGTAGTATATACATTGTTCAGGCACAAAATTATAACCACCTGCCTAATATTGTGTTGGTCCCCATGTTGCTTGTTCCATTGAAAACGTTGTGAGTTGGGGCCTCCAAGGATCGGAATTATTTGTCAAGCACACCCCACAGATGCTTAAATTAGATTTAAGATCTCAAATGGATGGTGGTGGATGTCAAATAACATCCACACGGATGGAAGAACCCAAGGTTTCCCAGTAGAGCATTGCCCAAAGCCTCACACTGCCTCCACCTGCTTTCTTTCGTCCCATAGTACATAATGGTGCCAGGTGTCCTCCAAATAAGTGATGCGCATGCACCCAGCCTTCCATATGATATAAAGGAAAACGAAGATGCTCTGACCCAGTCATCTAACTGTCACAATGTGGCCTATTTCTCCTGCTTCTAACACATCACCCCTCACCATCAATGTTCACTTATCTCAGCCACTAACAGGTGCCATGGTGAAGAGATAATAAGTGTTATCTACTGCACCTGTCAGTGATTAACATGTTATACCTGATTTAAAGAAAACAACTTTCTGTTTCCAGAACAGTTTTAAAGTAACAAATAAGTAAAGGAGTCTGAAGAAAAGCTTTGGGAACTTAGAAGCTCACTCTTCAGTAATCATTGCAGCTTTGTAGCAGCTAAGATTTGTTCAGTTCTTGTTTGGGAGGATTTTTGCCTTTTCTTCCTTCCTGCAAAAGGTTTGTAGTTCTTTTAAATTTCTTGGTGGCTTTGCATGTGCAGCTGTCTTGAAATAAAGCCCCAGATTTCTAAAATTTTGATCAGGGTGACTATGAGGGCCATAGTAAAACCTTCAGCTTCCACCTATGGATTATAGAAAATATTTTAATTTAATCTTTAGTTTTATTTATTATTTATTTTACTGTTCACTGATATTTAATGAAATTCATTCTTGCTCACTCATAGTGTTACTGGTTGGAACAGATATATAAGTGTGACTGATCAGCCCTATATTTAACAATTCTGCATTGTTTTTTCCCCACATTTTTCTCATGGCTTTCAGTAAGTTCTCTTTTAACTATATTAGTCCACAATACTTGTTTCCAAAATGCATCTTCAAGTAACTTAAAGAAGTCCAGACACAGGATTTTCTTTCCAAGCTCAGACCAGCTACATCTTTGTTTTGTTCTTATAGCATTCTCTTGGAAAATGGGGATCTGTTAGATTTGAAAACTGCAATACTTTCCTGATGACTACTGTGTGACCAAGCACAACAAGTAAATCTGACACAACTTGGTAATAGTTGGTCATTTCTATTAAAGAGTCCCCCAAACGTCTGAATCACATTCTTCGTATTTACTGTCACTCTCCCTTTTTTTTTCTAAAAAAAAGAAAGTTTTTAATCTATAACTTTATGCCTTTTAAAGATCACTTCATGCTGTGTTCATCACAGTAACAGAAATCTGAAGACGTCCAAACTTTTGCATGCTGCCGTATTTTTGTGAAACAGTGATTTGAAGGACTGCAGTAACTTGGTCTCTGCACCACCTCTGTGTGCCCCTTTCTTGTCGTGCTGAAGTAGCACTTGGAGTAAACACTTCACTCACAACAACAGCACCAAACACCTCCATCACTGCTGCTCTCCATCTGTCCTCAAGCCACAGCCATGCATGAATTCTAACATGCACAGACTGGGATTGCCTCATAAGACATATTTTCAAGAGCAGTTCTCTAAAAACCAAATATACGTTTTTCAAAATGCAAAGAAAAACGTCAGATTTAATGTGATTTCTTCACTTCATGCTCTCACCAATGTCTCAGAAATGATTTGCAGTTCAACAAAGCTTTACACATGCAGGCAGGTGGAGTTTGTTTAGTCATTAGTCATGTAACCATTCATTCTTTGAGGAGAAAAAAAGCCCACATCAACAACAACAAAGCACTGTGCCTGCTGGACTCAAGTCAGCAACACACCAAATGTCAACTTAATGAAGCCCAATATGAGTGTCACTCAATGCTTACCATAGAGAATGGTCACCATGGAAACCGGCATGACCAAGATGCCGAGAAGCATGTCAGCTACTGCCAGTGACATCAAGAAATAGTTTGTGGCGTTCTGCAGCTTCTTCTCCAGGGAGACGGCCAGGATCACCAGGATGTTGCCCATGACCGTGACAGCGATGACCACTAAAATCAGCAGGGCTGCCCAGTTTTTCTGCATCAGCTGCTCCGAGGGAGGACACTGAGACCCGTAGACTCCCACCACGTTATGGTGAGACCAGTTCCCCAGCTGTGCGTCATTGCCATTATGAACCACGTTGTTCCTCTGGCAGCCCAGGTTTGTGGCATTGCCGCTTTGGAGGCCACCTTCCTCGCGTGGAGGCCAGGGGTTAGACCCCAGAGTGGTAACGGCTGTGACAGTGTTAGAGATCAACTCTGACACATTGCCACCATGCAGGTTCATGGTGTCAGCTCGATAAATGCTCAGGACCGCTGCCTGGAAAGTGGGTCAGAGTGGCGGAGAAAAGAGGAAAGTCTGTTCATCGCTCACTTGTTTTCCATTCCCGTTGCTCTGAATATTATAAATACAACACCGTTCATCACTCGAGCAATTAACCTGTAATTCAATATGGTTTACCACTTCTTTGCTCCATCATGTCAAATAAGAAAAAAGAAGAAAAGTCCCCAGATTGACTGTCAGAGGATCAAAAAATCATCTCCACAACGGGGAAACAAAAATAGCATTCTGCTGAATTCAGCACAACCAGAAGAGCAGCTGTTTGATCTCACAGGACAATGCCAAACGCTTAAAAATGATATCTCGCTTGGTTAATAACCTCACTGTGCCAACAGTCCGTCATCTGGCTCTGTGAAAACAAAGAAACAAAAGTATTCCGTTGCCCAAAATATCCCAAACAGAACAGAGTTGTTTTAGGTCCCATGTCTTCAGTGATTTAGGAAAGAAAAAATCTCTTCTGATTATAGAATCCACTCAAAGCTGGCGCGATGGCAGTTGCAGGTTTCTCCTCCTTGGAGTTTGAAGTCAAGGCTGTGTTCATGTTAAAAATATCAGGTCCATGTGAAGTCGGGAATGTTACAAATCAGAATTTCATGGCCTGGTTGAAGCAGTTATTCAGTAACTTTGTTTCTTTTCAGTCAGTCTTTAATGTATGATCTTTAAGGATTATGAGAACACAAACAAATAAAAAAAAATCCTCTAGCCTTGAAATGGTCATTCTTAAACAGTATAATGACACACTGGTGTTATCAGTTTTACACAAACCCTGACTTACGTGTGAATGTTCAGAATTTGTTTATCCTAGCTGACACTCCTGCACAGATGTCATTATGCTGTACGTGCGTGTTTCCTAATGTGTGTGGAAATCTTCAAGCGTCCTCGCTCTCTCGTCTCAACTCGTCCCTGCACCTGTGAGAGTGCGTCGGCAGCCGACAGACATGGATGATGAACATGATGATATCTGACATGTGTGAGTATGTGTCACTAACTTTCCAGTCTCCTTCCTTCACTCGCATTTCTTGACTCATAGTAAGAAAGTATTCCTTGTTCACTGTAACTAAGAACAATGTCAGACCTCCAGAGAATTAAATATTCCTTACATTTTTCCTCCTTGTACTTGCATAAGCCCTCAGTGGATAATGTCAGTCACTCTTCAAATCCTTCATGAATAAACACAGACCTCCTTCCTTCACAGACCTTGATCATTCATTCTGCACATTTCCATATCTTGTCACTTTCCAGAAAGGAAAAAAAAACTAAAAAAGAAGCAGAAGGAAGAGAAGGAGGAGGAGGGAAGCAAACTTCTTCTCTCTCTCCCATCAGCAGACTGAAGAGGCTCCGTGTGTTTTCAGCTTTCCAGGAGAGTGCCATTAAGTTGTTGAGTCGTCTTCTGTGGTGAACAGGAGCTGAATGCTATTCTGCTTCTACTCGCTCACGCTGCTTCTCACATGCAGCCTGTCTCTCCCTCCCTCTCTCTCTGCAGCTCTCTCACTTGGATCTCCTGCTCTCGCTCTCTCCCTTTCTCTCCCTTTTTACCCAGGGTCTCTCCCCCGCATACCATTTTGGTATGCTCCCTCTCTCGGTCTCTCTCTCTCTTTCTCAAGCGTTCTCTTCTATTTATTGTGCCGCTTTCTCTTTCCTCTTCTTATTCCTGAATCTGGAAGTCCTGTTCTCCCTCCTTCAGTCGCTCTCTCACACTCTCTCTGTGTTTCTCTCACTCAAGTTAAACCTGCATCTCTCTCAATTCACTTTACTAGCATTACCATATTCAGCAATATGCCAAAGCCCTCTCTCTCATATATATATATGTATATAGATAGATAGATAGATAGATAGATAGATAGATAGATAGATAGATAGATAGATAGATAGATAGATAGATAGATACTCAGCATGGGTGATTTCTTTGGTGGAATGATTGTATTGCATACATGTTTAATGACTTAAAAAAACAAGAATTGGGTGCACAAGTTTGAATTTATTTTGGATCTTTTCTAATCCACACAGGGGTCAAAAGTATACATACATTTGTGCTAATATTTTTTAAAATGTCCTGGCACAGAGCGGGCTTTTAAGTGTAGAACACACATTCTCAATAGGGTTGAGGTCAGAGCTTTTTGGGTCATTTCTAAACAACTGCAGATTCCAGGATCATCAGATTAAACAGTTCAAATTATTTAGATATGTCGCCACCACACTGCCAAGGTCGGGGAGAAGACCTCAGTTGTCACCCTCAGATGAGAGAATTATTCAGGATCAACCCAGGAACCACCAGGACTCAAGCCTGAAAACCACTGGAACACCAGCATCATTGTCCACAGTGAGGTGTTTTACATTTTTATGAAATGAGAAGGTGCCAACCAACAAAGAAGGACCTGCTCCAACTGTTTACATGGACAAGCTAAATGCCTTCTGGAGAAAAATTTTGGTCACATGAGTCAAAGATTGAGCTTTATGGCCATTTTGCCAGCTGTCAATCATCATGGGATCAAACCTCTGGGGCTGTTTTGCTGCTAGTAGTACTGCACAAAGTGGATTGAATAATGAGGACTATCTACAAATGATTCAACTTACACTCAAATCTACAGCTAGACGGTTGAAACTTGACACAGCTCAGTTTTCGAACAGGACAGTTATCCCAAACACACATCAAAACTATGTTTTAAATGGATAAAGCAGGCTATCATTTGGCTTCTGGAAAGGTCTAAGGACCTTGGAAAGAAAAGCATCTGGACTTCTTTAAGTTTCCTTGAAGACATTTTTGAAGTGTACTTCATAAACGCATGGCACAACACAGAAGAGCCACCTCGATGTGACAAGCAGTCCATCTGTACCTAAAGAACAAAGGTCAATGTTTCGAGGATGCCAATGTTCACATTTTGGACAGAGAAGACAGATGGTTTGTAAGAGGAGTGAAAGAAGCAATGTATGTCCGCTGTGAGCGACCATCTTTGAACAGAGGCGGTGGTTTATGACACAAACTGTCTGCCACCTATAATCCAGTTTTGAAATCCATCCACAGACACCTTAACTCTCACTCACATCCTGGGCCATCTGACCTCAAGAAATCACATGATAGGGTGGGGCTAGGCTTCACAATGGGTTCACCCAAAACCTTGGCTGATTGGGACCCACACCCCTTTTCACACCTTGGCTTGTGTGATTAGGTAGAAGATCAATAGGGGGTCCATGATCCTCTTGGGGACACTTCCATAGGGCTTAAAATCTGGGACTCTCCACAAATTGCTCTTACCAGTAAAGAAGCTTCTCAGATGAGAGGTGAAATGTTAGACTTGGACTATGATGACCTGGATGACCGAGAACCTTAGGCTTCCTGAAAGGCTTTCCCAAAGCCTTGATTTTAACCATGTTGAAAATATGTGGACTACACTGAAAAGCTGGGTAAATGACAGGAAACAAAGCAATTTAAAGGAACTCTGACAAGAAAAATGGTCAAACATCCAGCCAGAATTATACCAGAAGATTTTTGATGGCTGCCAATCACGACATGATTTGGTTGGCTGGCGGAATGTGCAGATACATTTGAACAGATGCATTTTAGTTTGCTGCCATCTGTGCTGGTGTTTGGACACTCAGCTCGTAATCACAAGTAAAGCAAAGCATTCACAATTTCAACTGGTCAATGGATGACATCAACTCATCAAAAAATGAATGCTGAGCCAAGAGTGCTAAAGCCTGAAATGCATGAAAGGTTACACTTTATTTAATCTGTAGTCAATTACAGATTTACTGCAGGTTTCCATCCTCTAGTCTACTCTAAATGAAGACACAAAGCTTCATATTAAGTAGGAGAACTGAGGAGACTGTAGTGTAACTCATATAAACACATTACAAGCAATCTCACATTTCCAAACACATTAGGCATTCATCTAAAAAGTAAATTCATATCTGGAAGCAGCTCATAGTGCTTTGTACTATACAGAAAGTCTGTGTTAAAACTGTCCACATTTTTTTCAGTCATGTACATATTACAGAGGCCACAAGCACACTGCTATTGGGATGCTTTTTTTTTTAATCCATAAATGTATGAATTCAAGCCATCCACCATAAGCAGTGCAAATTAGGTGATCAAAAATGAGCACACCTCTTGAGGGAGTGGGTAACATACTAACCAACATAATCCAATATAAAAATGCAGGTATTATTATTATCAAGTGTTTGTTTCTGAGAGCAACATGGCAGTTCAGATCAAAGAGAGAGAGCTTAAGGAAAATCGATGTTGTGACATCAGGGCAAACTCTTCTGTTAGAAATTGATGGGCACTGTGAGGTCTTGGAGGAAAGGCAACTGTTCTCTGGATACATCTGACAGCCTAGGTGGAGCGCAGAGAAGGAATTCTTCATTACAACAAAAGTCTGCCATACAGACCCACTTATGTGTACAATTGGACCTGTTAGATTGTACAAGAACACATTAGTTATTCAAAAGTGGATATGACTCAGACAATTCAGATATTTTTTAAACTCATTTCAGATACATGAGTGACATCAATGATTACATATCGACCTAGATTTTAATACCTTGTGTTAAATATCTAATACTAGTAGGAAGTCTAACCAAAAAAGAAGTCATGAGCATGATTTGTGATGTTGCAGTATTGCTTTTCTGGACTGATCTCTGTGTAGAAGTCTGACTAAAACCCAGGAATACTGGGAACCATTCAGCTCACTTTAAAAGGTACCTTTTACAATGCCTTATGTACAACCATGACTTGTAATGGACACGTTTCATTCCCTCCAACATTGCTTTTGTTCTCTGTTGCATGAAAGTACCTGTGTTCAGGACCTGAAGGTAGCCTCTGAACCTCTGGGTTCTGCATGATTCACACTCTCCTCACCTGATTGTGCTCTGAAAAGGGAGTAGATATCCATTAGAGCCAGGCTGTCAATCAGTGCCTGTCAGGTCCTAGATTTCCCCCTTTTATCCTCCTCTAACAGGACTATCCTTCTCCTTTCTTCTTTATTTTCTTCCTCTTTCTCATCTTGTCTTTCTCTCGCCCTTTTACCCATTTTTTGTGAGCATGTGAATACAGACAGGTCTTTCCAGCTGTGTGATGTCCTCCAGGAGGGAGTGCTCTCTATCCAGTCTGGCCTCTCGCTGGCACACCTGC